GACATGTGAAAACTATTGAAGGTCTATTCCAAACACCAACATGTCAAGTGACCGGACTGGCAGTTTGTTGACTGGGGTTGGGTGGGTCTTCACCATATGAACGACCACTTGTTCACCATCGTCAGTTGCACTCTCAGACCATTAGCTCCATTGCTCTTCAAGGCACCTAAGCCATTAGAGGCTAAACTAGCAGGCGATCGCGGAAGAGGCAAGACTGCCAGACGTGTTTCGACAAAAAATGCAGTGGTTTGAAAATGGAAAGCCTGGAGGCGCTGAAAAGCCGCACTGCCTTGTCGTGGGCGAAGCGGGTGCATTTGATCGACTTGTTGATCGCAAGTGCCTCTCGTCTCTGACCTTACTGGGCGTTTTTGGGTACGGGTAAAGCTGCCGATGAATATTCCGGTCACCACACAGTTTGTTACTTTCTACCTTTGTTTTACATACATCAAGAAGGCTACCCCTTCATGTAAGCCCATCATACATTGTTGTCGACCGTTGTATCGATCGCTATCGATTTTGATTTTACATTATTTACATTCTGGAGGAGACTATTTTAAGAACTGGTTTGGGAATTTGCCTCTAAAAGATGATGTCAACCTCAGCCAGCACACTCGAGAATGGACTATGAGACCCCACGCTTCTTGCAGCGACCTTGGTAGTTTCCCTCCGTTACGTGCCAGGCGTTTGAGGGCTAGTGTTTGGGAAACCACATTCACAGTGTGTGTGCTTCAGACACGATGCTACAGGATAGCGGCAAGAGGTTACTGAAGACTTTGTTTCACATCCCAAGGAGCAGCTTGCTTGGGTACATGTGGACCCTGGTCGCCATAGCTTGGGTTGTCTAGCTGTTGGCCCATCCCCTAATATATAGTTCTTGTACTCGCGACTATCCAACCAATCCAACAAACATGGAAGTAGAAACCACCCGCTTGGAAGGCAATTGTCCAGCAATACATGTTTTGCTTTGCCTCCATCTTTCTTGCATGGAGGTACCAGTTCTTTAATGTATATATATATATGAATATTGTAAAACTCATGAGTCTAGCAGTGTGGCAAATGGCTGTTCAACAGAACTGGCAACTGGCAGCCACCAAGAAACCACCAATTGTTAAGCAGTAAGGTGAAGTGACTCAACTCAACCAGGCCCAAAGCCAGTCCATGAAGGTTGATCAGTTTCGCGTTGCTCAGGAGTATTGGCTTTGCCTCTATGCGGACTGGACCAAGTTCCACAGAGCCGGGATGACAAGTGACAGGACCATGATCAGGTTCTGGCCACTTTGCACTATGGCGCTATGCTTGTCCTTCAGTGAACACTGACTTAGTGACTTAGTAACAAGGGCATCGCTACTAGTAGCTAGAAGCTACTATACTGGGAGTACAGAGCACTTCAGGGACCCTCAGCACAGGTCTCTCAAAGCCGGGCCATACCCCAATTTGGCCAACGTGGCAGGACGAGGCCATCCTTCAAAGAGGTTTCAGATGTTAAGATCCACCTGGAGGGCGACGAGGCACGTCTTGCTTCCATGCTGAAACCTGTTCTTTTGTTTTTAAGCCCGTGGCCTAATAGGCGCTTACCTAATTAATTAAGTAAGGGATAAGTTTGCTCCTAACTAGTATGGACGCAGGATAGCTCATGCTTCTTCAAGCAAGCTCCCCCGCCTGAGAAGAAGCGCTTCCTTGAAGCGCTCATGCTTACTTGAAGAAGCGCTCGCACTAATGATTTGGTTCCTAGATTTTTAGAAAAACTTAACTTCAAAGGCCTGAAGGTTGTTACTTTGCGGGAGTTGGGATGCGACCAGAGTAGTACCCTTGGACATCCGATCAAAAGGGGCAGAATAGGGGTCAGGATTGTTCAGAAGTTGGCAGCTTATGGCCTGTGGTACGTGCGGTTTGGAACTTGGAAACAAAAACTTTGGGTTCTGGGTTCTCTTCGCAGCCGCACTTTAAGAGAACCTTCGGAAGAATGCGCAGGTCCAAGGGTTGTTTCGCTCCCAAGCCCATTGGGGCCTTAGTCCCTTTTCTCAGTCTCACTTGCACACGGCGCAAGCAGGAGATGAAAGGCGAAATGCTGCTGCAGGGACGCTCAGGACAAAGTCTGAGGGACAGTGATCCAGATGGCCCTTGGAGCGAGGGTAAGATGTAGTGATTGCATCAGGACACTGCACGTCTGCAAGTGAAGTGTGATTAACAATAAGTGAGCCAGTCCAAGCCATGATCTATTTGTTTGTTCAGCATCAGTATTAGCGGGTGAAAGAGATACCGTAGGCCTTCCTTCTTCACAGAACGATATGAGATACCTTTTATTGTTATGAACACATCCATTGAGTCCTTTATTTCCCTGAACAGTGTGGTCACACAAGGGGTTCTTACGATAAGGGTTAAGGGCCGGTGTGTAATCGAGGTGTCGCGCATTCGTGTGCGGCTTGTGCGTTGCTATTTCGTGGCAGGCGCAAGTGAAACCTCGTGCTTTGGTTGTCCAATGTCGACTTTTCATGACAGGTGCAAGGGATCGGAGCCGTGTTACTTCGAAGTGCAGATTTCGTGGCGGGTGCAGCACTTTGGATATATATGGTGGTGATCAGGTGCAGTGAATCGTGACTTTTCTACATGTGGCAGCTCGTTTTCAGAAATCGTGGCAGGTGCAGTACTTTGTGGACCTTGAAGTGCAGATTTCGCAGCAGGTGCTGTACTTTGTGGACCTTGAAGGGCAGATTTCGTGGCAGGTGTAGTACTTTGCAGACTTTTCCCAGCTTGAACCCCCACCATCACCACCCACCACCAATACCACCATCACCACCATCATCAGCACCATCACCATCACCATCATCTCCACCTTCATCACCACCATCACCTCTCTGGACCCCAATGCGTCTAGATTCTGCTGTTACACCTCTAGACCACACACACATACTGTTTGGGGCTCTTGCCGGAATAGTTGACTTACAGCACCAGACAGGTGATCAGATGTGAACATGACACAATATGATTTGCAGAAGCACGACGGGCCCCCCTCAATGTGCAGTCTTTTTCTGTCCAACTAAACCCTGCAGCTCCCAAAGGTATTCAAACACATGTCTTTGGGACATGGGTTCCTCCCCTATGGGAGTGAAATTGTTACAACTAACAATCAAACACATCTGGTTACACCGCTGAGAACATTCCAAAATAACTGGAAGACAAACATTCTGAATAGCCCTGACGCAGTGAAGAACTTGTGTTTCTCCTCAGTGACATGGCGTTGAAGTCGGTGCTCTCCGAGCTATGTCCTCGGAGCACAGGAACACAGATGTTCGGTCTGTGGGCGTCCAAAGATGCCGGGTGGTAGGCAACTTGCCACCGATGGACACCCATGGACCTTTGGGTCTCATGAAGTTTCATGTGTTTCAGCAACTTAAAAGTGAAGGGCCGTACAGATCCTGCAATGTTAGAATGTAGAACGGTTTTCTTGGGACAGTGCGGCTACAAAATTTGACCCGCAGGTCGCAGCTAATGTTAGGTGACCTGTTCCTTCTTTTCAAAATCAGGATGCTTTAGTGCTAAATCAGGATGCTTTGCAATGCAAGTCAAGACCACTTGTCACAGAGTCCCACCAAGTGCGCCTGTCCCAGTTCTTTGCAGCGGAGGTCTGGACCCTTCGTGAGCCCTGGCTACACCAACAAGCAGCGCAGCACAGAGGTTTTCGTTGATGACGCCTTGGGAACCAGGCGCGGCGCATGATGGAGCAGGGGAAGCAATGGAGGCTGAAGTACAGCTAATCGCACAAGGCCAACCACGCACTTTGGAGAATGGCGATCCCCACTTATGAAGTCATGAAACCAAAACCTTGGCGATCCTTAGGCGATCCTTTGTTCTTTCATGCTTTTTCCATCTCCTTTGACTAGGTGAGACTTAGATGGGCCAAAAGTGTTGGTGGTCAACAACTTCCAAGGCTCATGGAATACTGGCTAAACCTCCCACCAAGAAACTTGTAAGGGCTCCGGGCTGAGTGTTTGGTCCATCTAAGTGCTATGGACCCTCAATCTTCAAAGTTGCTCTGGATTTCGAGGGTCCTAGGTTGCTGCTGGGCCTTTATGTCACCTTTCCTAATTATGTAACACACGTCGCAACAAAGCGCAAACCTAAACAACACTGATAATTATACAATTATGTAGATTTTAGAGTCACTGGAACAACCAGCGAATTCGCTGAATGTATCACTGGGACCATTCTGCGGTTTGCTGTGGCTTCCTTGATCTATCAACCATTTGACACTGTGACACCCTACCTCACTTGAGTTTTGATCCGAACTGCAGGTGGTATCGCACACGCGATTGCCTTGCACGGCTCAGCGATGGCTATCAGTTTGCCGGGCGCGCAGATGACATGGTCAAGGCCGGCAATGCTCACTTGTTGTGAAAGTTAGCTTGATATACACAAGGGGTCCAAGGGGTCTACAGTCTTTGTCGTGCTTTCCAATTGGCATAAGGTGATAGAACTGCAAATCATTGTAAATCCTCATCAAATATGTTTTGGCAAGTGTTTCCCTCAATGTTTTGAACCACAGATCACAGGTGGGCGGCGTTTGGCTGGACACCAGGGAAGTCGTCGAGAGCTTGCACAACATCCAAGGCACCGGGTGGTCAAAGACATCGTTGAATTATTGAGCCTCTATGGCTAATAGCTGTAGTAAGCACCCCCCATACACCTGCTACAATCGACCCAAAAGTATAGTAAAGGATCCAAATACTGTACTGGTTCACTTAGATGTTCAATCGATGAAAACCCAAAGGCATCAAATAAGCTGAGTTTTGTCGGAAGATTCATACTGCCGCTTCTTGCACCCAGCCACGGCTCAAAACCGCAAGTTGACAAAACCATTACTTCAAGATGCCTAGATGCTTTGCACATTCTCCCATGGAGAAGAGTATGGAGACTAAGACAATGCAAACCATTGGAGAATGAACGGATATGTTCTATAACAGGCAGACAAATAAATTTATCACCACTGACAACGAGTGGAATCAGAATAAATCTCCACAACTGGGCATGCAACATGCATTCAATGCGCCGAACGCACGGCGAGCATGGCAAAGCGAAAGCTGGAGGCAAGCCGCTGGGGTTTGGCAGACTTGGAACTTTCTTCCTATAATTTCATTGCGATGGCCTCCAACCTCCTAGCAATGGCCTCCAACCTAAGAGTTTTTCGTGCTGATGGAAGGTAAAATCGTATCCGTGGGGTACACTACTTACTACCGACTACTACAGTGTTTTGCTGGTTGCTGACCCAGTATTCTCCAACAAAATCCGTGATTATCATATTATTGTCGTGCTTGCCAGCTGATCAGCAAATCCATTATGGTTGATCCCTGAAGAGAAAACATTCTTGAGTGACGCCTGAAAATGTTTTTGGCAAGCTGATTTTGATATCTTGTTTGTATGATTTGTATGGTTGTTTCTCCACGATGTAACTAGGCCCAAATTGCACGACTTTTGCTCCTCCTCAAAAAGAAAAAGCCATGGGCAACCCTGCAATCATGCAGCCACCTGAGTGCCAATCATGGGCATCATGCGCATAGAGAAACTACTAAAGGTTCGCCAGGTCATTCGAGCCTTGGTTTGACCCAGCCAGAGATCGATGTTCTTCCCCAACAGCCAGGAGAACGCCGTCACAGCGCAACTGGGTTGCAGACAGACAGCAAGATGCTTTAAACTATGGCTGTTGAGAGAGCTCTCTGAAGAGCTTTTGACAATGACAAGGAAACTCAAAAATGACGAACGTGTTCCAAAGTTGTGGAGACAAGCCCCCCAAATAGCTACGTGGACATACCTTGATCGTGTGGTTTTGGGGTGTTGACCAAGGGTGCTGGCTGCAGGTGCACCAGCTGAAGTCAGACTGAATTGTTTGATAATGGCACCAAGTGGCCAAAACAATGGTCTGAGTCTGAGTCCCAGTTTGTCACTCATTACTTTTGCAAACAGATTCATGAACGCAAAGAGATACTTTTTTCAGTCAAAGGTCATTTCGAGACTGTACATTGTGTATATACTATATATATATACACGTACACAATATAGAGTTACAGCACAGCGTGTATATATATATACATATGTATCACTTTTGTAAATTATATACATTATTTACGGATGTATACGGACAGAGCACGAGAGCAAGCATATTGAAATGTTCATGCAAGATTGCCATGTTTGTACAAAATAATCACAATTTTGCTGAACAGTTTGGGCACAGGAGCTGCAATACCCAAATGACATGGGGGGAGTTACTGCCTCAAAAAATCACAACCACATAGTCTTGCATTATATATACATACTTGTTTTAGGTCCCATGCGGACTGACACTACAAACCAATTTATTTCACCAGTATCGAGGTCGTCAGCAGGTCACTTCGCTTTAGGAAGCCCAGTCCCAGCCTTTTCAATGTTGTCGGATAATGCTACCAAAACAGAACACTTGCTGCCTTGCTGCAGATTGGTTCATGAGAAGCGTTCTGTACTTTGGAACGTCAAGACCGGTACGCAATCAAGGCGTGTATCAGTCGGAACTCTGCCATCTCTACACCAGTCGAGCGAAGTTTGTGGGAAGATGGATCGACCTCTATTCTGGATTATACTGTATTATATGGTAACTGCAAATGGAGGTAACGTCTGAATGGCGAGTTAGGCTTTACCACTTTTTCAAACAAATCGAATACCAGTAAGACGACCTGGGTAGTTTGCAGCCGAGACACATGACCAACCCGGAGCCTTATCGTACAACCCATCTAGTTGGAGAAACCCGCATCGGCCTTGCTATTGTCCGACGGGGGAAGCTCAATGGTGCCTGTAAGGACCATGGATAGACTCTTGGATGGGCGAAAGAGTCTGTTTAGTAATCCCTTCTAGCATATCGAAGTGGCGTGAGGTAGGTTGATGATTAAACTTAGTTGGATCACCACTCAAGTGTGTCATCCGGATTGATGTCCCCCCAGCTGCGGGATGGCCGATCTCAGGTGTTGTGACGAGGGGAAAGCCAAGAAGAGACATCGCAAATTCTGGACCCCAGAAGAGCCACTTGGTCTTTTGGAATTCGCAGCACCACAAAGCCGCAAGACCAGTAAGAATGGGACACTCTCAGACCCAAGAAACTTCTCAAAAGATCCACTGGCCAAGACCACCAGAATAAGGTGGTATTGAGTTTCGATGATATGTTTTGAAGTTGAAGTCAAAGGTACTTGTGGATGATGCATGTTGGACCCTATTGGAATAGAATTCAGCCCTGACCCAAAGATGTGTCAACAAGTTGCTTCAGGCTTGAAAGCAATTATATAATTATATAGCAACTTGTTTGGTTTCATCCAAATGCCTAATTAGTAAGGTTTCATGTTTGGCAATGGGTAACCCAAAAAGGACCACTCAAGTGAGAGCCCGAAAGGTTGGGACCCACAACAAGCGAATCGGTTCCAAGCAGCACGCCATTTTTAGTTTTACATGGTACGAAGAGGTTCCTTCAATATCCTAGTATATGTGTTATGTGTGTTTTGGTTTCCCCAATTTTGCTGTGCCATAGTTCAACTGCATGGGGTACAATCTTGGTAACCACATACTTTTTGTGTCGCATCGCAGGACTATGTTGAAGCAAAATCTGTGTTGGCCTTGTGGACTTTGACATCACCATGCCCTTTGACATCTACATTTTAATACATTATATTATTCAATTCAAGTTTATATTTGCTAAAGCGAGCTAGAACGGTTTCTTTGGTTTGTTGTCAGCATTCCCAAAGGTGCGTAAGACATATAATTCAATACGTTCAAATCTGGAGAGCGGGTGGTCATGGAGCCTGGGTTTTACGTTGTCTACAAATACAGAAAACCAAAAACCCAGGCCCCATGGCCACCCCTTCTGGCAAAAAGACACTTGTGGGCTTTTTGTGCTCCTTGTTGAGGAAAACAGTAAAACCCTGCTGCTATACCTTCGCGTAGATGTAGGTGTTGTGTGGGGTGGCGCCCAACCGATCTCGTCAATACGGACCTTGGCCTCTAATGTCCCACGCATTACTTTTGCCCGCTTTTTTGTTAGAACCCTTGATTATGTTTTTTGTTTGCTAGGTCAATTTGCACTGGAAACTTGAGCTAATCAACCCACTGGAGAGGTAGGTGTGGGAAAAGACTGGATAAACATGGGCTGGTTGTTTTTCGGTAGATTTCCTCTTTCAAATTCAAAGGGTCTGAAAAGTTTCAACCATATCATATCGCAGGAATCCAACGAATTGGGCTAGTAGATCGCTTGCAGTCCAGCAACACTGTATAATTGCAAGTGTAAAGAAAATAATGCAGGGGGCAGGGGCAGCGGTCTTGAATAATCACTGCCCAAGTCGATGGTGTGCACAAAAGGAGAACACATATATATATATGGCTTGATGGTTTAGCCGAGCAGACAACCGCAACCTCCCCTTTATTCCCCATGGGATGCTCGCCACAGAAGCAAGCAACTGGATCTTCGTATGTCGACGACCTATATAGAACAATCAGTTTTTGCTCATTTCAGCTCAGAGTAATGGGGTGTGTTTGGGTGGTCTTGGTGGCATCATTCCCCCCCGAAAAAGGATCCTTCTGAGAGTCGAGGTCTATCATGACCATCTGATCCAAACGTACTAGGTAGGACGCAAGCACGGACCATGTTAGAGCGTTTCACAAACTGCAAGAAAGCCTTAGACCCTTCGCCTTGCGGCGCTTCCTGTACCTTTCTGGCATATACATATATGCTGGTGTATAACTATATAATTAATAACCTCCTTGTGTACAAATAGATGACTCCTTGCATGCTGATCCTGCTGGTTGCTTGGCTTGCTTTACTCCACTGGAAGATTGGGTACGGGTATAGGTACTTGTATGTTTTAGATGCTTCTTTTGTTGGATGCTGAGGCGTGGCAAGGTGAGACCATGGGTCGCCGAACTCATGATCCTTTCGGACATCGATAGCCGCATAGCTGAAACTGGAGAAGCGCTACCTTTGCTCCTAGTAGCTTCTTGTTACTAGTAGTAAGGCCAGGAGCCCCTAGTAGCGTCCTTGCTCCTAGTAGCGATGCCAGGAGCCCCTAGTAGCTCTCAAGTTGCCTAGAGCAGCTCCGAGAGCTAAATTCTATGTTTGTACGTTCGTCCTACCATTTCCTGACGCTGCTGGCTCACGAGGTAACAAAAGAGGCGGAGCTCAATGGTTCAAAGAACAGAGGAAGAAGGTACGGCCAGAACTGTGGTTGATGCAGTCGGATGTGTGTGTGTGACATGGTTTGACCATCCACGAAGAATGCAATACCCCACCAAAGGTCCGCAGAAACTCTGACAGAGGGTAGGTGGAAGATATGAATCGAAGTCCTGCGTCACTTGTCACAGGAACATGGTGAGTGGTCAAGTGCATGATTTCTTTGCATGCCTGTGTGCTCGCCCGCTCACCTGCCTTTTTTGCCTTCCTACCTGCTTGATTGCCTTATTGGTTGCTTGTCAGCTTTCTGCTTGCTTGCATAGTAGCAATGTGGTTTCAACATGTCACAAATAAGTGGAAGAACGCCGAAGTACCTCAGATACATGACTCATTTGCGGTGCAAGGTTCTACCAAAATGATGTGTAACGCATGGCATTGGTCAGGTGCTTTCGATGGCTCCGGAGGAGTGGCGCCAGCGAATTCAGGACATCAAGTTCAAGGATCGGGAAGTTGGCAGGGAGCCATTCATTTTGGCTTTCCCTATTATACTGTGAACCAAACATTGTTAATGTTTGCGGAATCTCCTGTATATGGAACACCTGTGTTTCAGTTTCGCACCAATCCACTCTTTGAGCAACCTAAGTCAATGACTTTGCTGGGGCTCCCAAAAGAGACCCTTATGCCAGGCCCTATGCCTTTTGTACCCAGTTTAGTATGCAGTTGTTGATGAATTAGGGTCCACCCAGTGACATTTACCGATGATCACTTTACGATCTAGTTCATCACACCTTTAGATAGACTGGCATAGCTATTTTTGTGCAAAACAGCATGATTCCTGCGCCACCTGGATGGCGCTTGATCGGAGCAAATTGCAAGGCCAACACGAAAACGGTGCATGGCGCTTCAGCAGACGAGCTTATCGAGGACGTTGCCGTTGGCTTGACACTTGTTTGAGGTTTGCCGCGATCCGGGTGGGTCTATGGGATGCATCACAAGGGTAGGTAACCCACCACGGAAAAGATTTGGTAGATTGGTCAGTGATGTGTTATTGGCTTTTGTTTTGGTTGGGTAGAGTTGGGGTCACCGCCCGTGTGTTGCGTATGACCACTACTATGTTGGACAAGTTCCTTGACACAGTGTTTCCAACGTGTTTCTCAAGTTATAGATTTGTTGTTCGTGCTGGTTGTTGTTGTTTTTGCTGGTGTTGATGCTGTTGTTGGTGGTGTTGTTGGTTGAAACTCTTTGCGATTACCAGTAGACATGTTCCTAGTTAGGTCGACTGAGCAAGCTGAGTCGTTGAGCTGATGCTACATTCCCATTTCTAGACACTCCAAGTAACTCAGACTTCTTCACCAAGTGTAGCAAGCTTCTAGACTCTAGACAAGGTTAAAGCTAGATCTAGATCAACTTCCCATCCCCTGGCCTGCCGTGCAGTCGCTTTGCCCCAGCCTACCCCCCTAAAGACTAACATGGAACCTAAAAACCACTGGTTGGTAGAGGAAGACACTCTTCCAGGGGCCCATCGTCAGGGTCCATGTTAGTTTTCGGGAGGGTAATCTCTGACATCCCGTTTCCCACATCACATACCGGGATTGCGGCCCAGTCCAGCATGTGAATCACCACCGCTTTACACGGCAGGTCCCACACAACTGAAAAGCCAAGACTTCCTCCAACAGCGGAGCATGCAGGAGATCGAACCGGCTTTCCGGAGCACAGCTTCACCTGCTGTGCCTCCAGATCGGAAAGCTTCAACAGCTGCTCCTCCTCCCGCTGCGCCAGCTACGCCCGCGTGCTCTGTGCCTGCCCCTGTCCAGAACAGGCTGGGAATGGGCGCACGCACTTCATAACGAAGCCTGCCTATATATATATATATATACTCGTACGTACTTGGAGGATCGCTGGTGGGAGGGCCCGCTATCTAAGGAGGGCTGTGGTACATGTTGCATTGACGATGGTACCAAACAGACTACTCGCTCGCAATGATCCTCCAATCTTGTTCATGTAAGGACCCTACTATCTCAACAGGTTCCTATCCTGCAATCCTTTTCCTCAGGTGTGGGCGACACCCTACACCATAGTATTCAACCAATTGTTGTAATGATTGTTTGTATATCCCACATCTTGAAGATCGGTCTCCTGCCTGTCCGCTCAAAAAAACGACGCCAAGATACAGGTCTCCCCATTCCTCGAGAGAACCTGCGGGGCGCGGCATCGAGCGATACTTCAATGTGAAGTGTTCCCTCGCGGTGGCTGTGGCCCCGAGGCAGGGCCCTTGCCCACCGCGGGAGTGGAGGGCACACAGCGTAGGCAGTTGCGCGGACACGGGCAGCAATGCGGAAAAGAATGGGAGGCCCTTGAAATACTAGCGTCCTTGCTCCTAGTAGTACGGCCAGGAGCCCCTAGTAGCTTCTTGCTCCTAGTAGCGATGCCAGGAGCCCCTAGTAGCGTCCTTGCTCCTAGCTGTTACGATAGGGTTCACCAATTGTTTGGGGGTGCCAAGACATTGTTGTTGCCATTGACCACAATCGACTGTGTAATGGTCATTGCATTATACTGCATACTCAATACTGCATATTTTATTCTTCTGTGGACTTACCAATATCCCTGGAATCCAGGGTCAAAAATTGAATGGTATACTGTATGCATGTAGGTATGGCATGGAGCTAAAGGCTTTTGACACGTATTTATTTTCCTCTATGGACTTAGCAACTAGCACTTTTGTAATAACTTTGGATTTTCTATTGTCATGTAAGTCATGTATACATATGTATACAATCTATGTAACTGTACATTTACTTTGTGTGTTTTGGAAGATCTCCACGAAAGGCCCCATCCGAAACGACTCTCACTCCACGCTGGTCCTGGTCGCGACCACTACGCGGTCTTGCGCCTACACAAGTCGCCCGGAGAAGAGCGGAGAAGAGGGAGTCACCGACTGAAGGTTTTTTTCAGCGGAGCTGGATGGAGTCAGCGGAGCCACAGAATTCCCGAACCTTTTTGCAGAAACTACACCGAGGGAAATGGTCTGGTGGCATTGTGTTGTGGACTCCGGGTGCCTTCAACAAACAGTCGGGATATGTTCAATTGGGTATGAAGATATACGCTACACTGTGTTGCACACTCTTTGACATGAATTAAATGCGTAGATTATTTCAGGTCAAGAGGTTAGATGTACTTGCATTTGCCCGATTTGCATGGGGCCTGGCGTCCTGTGAATACTGTCATGCAGGTGTATACGGGTATATAAAGATGCAGTTCTCTGACGTACACATTGTCCTACAGTCAAATCATGGCTTCTACTGCGACTCAGTTTTGTGCTTTTTAAAGGAGAAGTCAGATTTTTCCCTACAAACTAGATCCTCCTCCTGCCTTTGAAGGTAGGTGGACCTTCTAAATCTGAAATACCACCAACCACCCAGGGTCAGTAGTCTGAATGGCATGGTGCCGCTGTCAGTCCCTTTGAAGAGATGCCCTTCGTCCAGACTCGACCAGTCTCCATCAGTTTCGAAGGTCCTGCAGCATGCAGCAGGTCCATGCTGCCTACAAGCAGAGAGCGCTCGAAACGCATCCGGACAAGGGAGGCGAGACCATGCGCCAGATGCGCGACTTGTTCCACCGGTTGGACGGCAGTTCGTACATGTCCTGTTGACTGAAGTCACCACCCAACACATCTCAGATCATTTTCAGGGTTTGAGACTTCACCAGTTTGCTATGAATTTAAGTGAGTTTCACGAAAGGTAGCTTCAGCTACCTGAGTTCAATTAGCTTTAAGCTTTGGGATGCTTTGAGGCAGGGTCCTCCCACATGCCATGACCTTGGGGTCGCGAAAGGTGATTCTTCACTCCAACGGATATCTCTCTCTCCCTCTCTTCGTGGCGCTAAGCATACGCTTTTCGACTCACTTGACTATTCGACTTACCTCTCTGAAAGTTCGTCCAACAGCTACCTATAAGATTTATTATGAGCCTTATTTAGTACGTTTAGCAGAGGTTTTTGGCCAATCGACGGTCAATTGTTATTGGGTTCGGGGGGCAACCAGCGAGATGCTCAAATTATGCTGATGCTATACATGGTACAGTATGTTGGTGTCAAAAACAGAGAAATGAGCAATGTTTCAACGGCCACGTTGGAGAAACGGGAGTGTCAAGCTCTTCAGGGGACTTTGACACCTTCAGGGTGCTTTTCAGCACTTTGCACCTATGACACGGATTATGGAGTTCGATGCTTGCGGGTGGGACTGGGATTCGCTCAGAAGGACTGCCATCGATTCACTTGTCCGCGATAGTCCAAATCGCCAGGTTCTCATGACGAGTTCCTTGCCGTCAAGGAAGCGTTTGAAATCCTGTCCGACTATGCCAAGCGGGTGGCCTATCACACGCGTGTGCGTGGGTGTTGGTGGGGGGGAGGTGACCTCGTTGCCCTGAAGGGTTGGTTGCGGGCTTGTTTTTTTGCCGTCCGACTGTAGGTATAAAATAGAGACGGTCGATGGTCCAGTTCAATATTGCTTCTATAGGATCCCCAAGTTCAGAGCTTTCAAAGGACCTATTTTGTGGTCACTGAATGCTTTGCGAATCAACACCAAAAACGCGTTCGCCCCGGTTCGAATTGTCTAGGTATATCCAATTACATATATATAATATATATATATATAGATATGTTCAGTCAGTCATCCTTTGCCAGTTGTTCATGCATGTCAAGACATGATATGTGTGCACCACAAGTCCTTTTTTGGGGTTTACTATGGTTTACTATTATCTATTATCGTATTGGCGGATGAAACACCCGCGAGCTGTGCTCTCGGATTTTTCAGAGAGGCACGTTTTGAGGAAGCAAACAAACATATGAGAAGACATGAGATATATTCTTTGTTCTCCCTTGTGGTGATTTTATTTCAGGCCATAATTAGAGGCGACAGAAGATGCCTTATTCTAGTGTTTTTGTGGTTAGTCTTTGCTCTTTGCTCTAGGAAGGGTTTCCAGATTTAATCTTTGTGAGGAAAGGTGCCTCAACGTGCAGACAACTGTTGATGGAAGGACCCCGTACCACTTCATACGAGGCACAGCTGGATGGCCAAGCCTTCGCTTACGAGCGGCCGAGCCAGTGACTTGAAGCACTGAAACGGTATTGAGCAAGATGATCACATGTTTTCACATGTTTTCACTGACGAGTGATCTTGAGAAGGCTCCAAGGTTGAGTCAATTGATCCCAATCTTCTGGACCCGAACACCTCTTTTATTTTATGTGTAGATGAAGTAGTAAGAAGTCACGTTCTGATAGAGTGGACAACTCCCAGTTATGACAAGACCATTGGGATCAGCTAGCTACAAAGTCCTGCGTCACCTGGAACAGCTTCAGCTGCTTTTCTCGTTGTGTTTTGACGTCCTTGGTTTGTATGACCTGTTGTATCACATTGGTATTTCGATTTCGTCAAACTTGCCGCTGGTATTACATGCAGCTTGTTTGGCAAAACAATCGGTGGTTTGATTGGCAAATATGTCCCTGACTTGCAAAGACCCTCCTTAAACCAAGCACAAGTTGATGGAGTCGCAAGTGCACACGCTATGACCGCTATGATGTGCGGCGATTTAATTTGTGATACTTTGTGACGTTGGATGCCTCATTGTTGATGCCTCATTGTGGACATGCTGAATCTATATCCCAGGGTGACCTGTTGCTACCAACTAGGTTGGGATACGACATGATACGACCAAATTGCTTGGATCAGTTCAAACCCAGAAAAGGGGCCGGACGGACTAAAAGGTCTCCTGACTACACGCGGTTCCTCCTCAGCGAGCTCTTGCTGAAGAAGTTGCCCAAGGACGACTGGTTGAGAGAGCTGGGACGGCAGTGGGTGTCAGCTCAGTCACCCGTCAGCAAGTTCAGCTCTGCAAGAATCCTTGAGCTCTCTGTGCGTAAGTGTGGGCGGCATTCTGAGCCAGAGTAGATCCTTCGAACTTTGGAGGTCAGACATTCCTTGCACTAAGTGGCCCAAATGATTTTCACCTTCCCTCCAATGATAGATAAATGAAAGATGCATGTTTGCAATTTTGTGTGGTATTTTAAAATCCGATGTTAAGTCGCCCGTCATGCGGTCGAAGTCGCAAGATAGGAGCTTCTAACGCATGTGGACTTGCCCACACTGCGGGCACTCAAGAGCCTCCTTGCGGAGATGCGAGATCGACAACGCACTGAAGGCGTGAGAAGGAAAGAGTCAATCCCGCTTAAAAGTGCCTTTATCACGAAGATATTGTCGAGATTTGTCGAGTGATTCAGTGGAATGTGGCATTGAGATGTCACATTGGACTCCGCAAGTCGAAGCTGTCGATGAAAACAGCACGATTACAAAAGTCCCTGGGCGGTACTGGTAAGTGGGGGAGGGATCCCCTCTCTCTCTCTATATATATATAGGTTCACTTTGCTTTGTTTGTATATAGGTTCACCCCAGAAGACCATTGGTTGCTTATATAAACATCCTCACTCTACGTGTCAACACGCTGCTCGTTCATTTTTGTTCGAGACATTTCGAAACAACACAGCCATACAAAGATCAGGTCAGGCCGCCAAGGCCAGACTGGCCGGTGAAGATCTAGGTTTGGCTGATTGCTTCATGACGATCCATCTTTTGTCATCTTCCCCGGGTACCACCTATACTAAGGGCCGGCCTGTGTTGACCCGCTCCGCTTCCAGGGCGTCGCAGGCTTGAGCCGGTCCAGAAGAAGGGCAACGGCCTGGTGAAATGCGCGAACGGCGATTACCTCGTGACCATTTCGTGGAACAACTTCCGACTCCAGGCCTCCCGGCCTCTCTCCGGGGTCTCTCCATAGCAGACTGACAGGCATAACCACTTAAATAACAGCCACCTTGCAAAGATGAGATCCCGCTACACATTTTGGGCTGCAATTGAGGATAGTCTGTAGATCAATGCGGAATTCAAGCAAAGTGATACATAGAAGAGTAGAGTCTAGTCGACCACCGTGTCGCATTGCCAGTGTTACCACACACCACCGCGTCGCACTTCACCAAGTCACCACTGTCCACATCACTTGACCAACACTACCTTTGATCAAGTCGTGCATCTTCACACCGTGTCATCACATACGCTTCACCACCAGAGAAATCACCACATCAACGCAACGCAGTTTACACTCACTTAACCACATTGAAGCCCCTGCAGCACACCACATCACACAACCTGTTGCATGACCAACATGACATGGATATATACATATATTATCTTTAAGAAAATGCTGTGTGACGACGACATCGCTCTTTTCATTTTTGCCATACCATACCAAATCACACCCCCCTTGCACTGCACCTCACAGCATAAATCACCACATCGCACATCACATGTCCGCTCCAGCACCTAGAGTTTATACTTCTCATTGCTCAATGCGTTGGTAAGGCACTTGTAAGAGCTTTTGGACTGTCAGGGGTGATGCGCAGATGACAGGTTTCGCACATCAAGGACCTCCAGATGGCCACGAACATACATTCCGTGACCTGAGCAAGATGGCGTCCATACGGGTGTTTTGAGGTGTTTTGTCAGATTGGCGATAAGGACTGGGAGACGAATCCCTGTTTTGGGCCCCTGGAGTTTGCCGGGGTGGTTGGCCGGCGGAATGCCTCCTCTAGGGCAATAGCTTTAATTCATGTCCCAAGGAGCCCTGTGGACAGTCTCTTTTTGCAGCAAGCCCGTTGCCTGGATCACATGATTGAGAGAAAGGCTCTACCAGGCGCATGTTTATGATTGCACAACGAACAGTTGGTGACCCGATCACAAAGATCTTCAATTGGTGAGACCCATGACCCATGTTTCATGACACTAAGAGCGATGGTAGTAGTAACGATGGTTGCATCCCTCATGGCACCCTCAAGGCCTTCGTACAACTCCGAGAGACAGCGAAGGATCGCATCAAGCGGGCCATGGCTCGCAGGCGCGCCCGACGGCGGATCACCTGACATTTTGTGCAACAAAAGGTGTTTGGGCCGACGCACCTTTAACAAGGGGCCTTATAAAACGCGCCCAAGCACCTCCGTTTTTTCCAGATTTGTGACAATTTCAGGTCTTCCGAAGGCGACGAGGAGCCCGCCTTAACCGACGAAGAGCTCCTGGCTGCGCAAGCGGAGCAGCCATATATGATCTTGTTTGCCTCAGATTTCAGGCCTGTTTGCGCCCATCATTCGGTCCGGTCGGAAAGGGCCCCGGGGAGATGTTTGATCCTTTTGCAGGATGTTGTTTGTTCTTTTTGGTCTCAGTCTGGCGGTCTAGAGTGCGTGACAATTAATAACAAACTTGGATGGGCTTGAGTTTTGGTGTCTGTCGAAGGAGGCATCACAGAACTTGCTAGAATGAGACCCCTGATCCATTAAAAACTACTGAAAGAGGGCACCACTGCCACTGTTTGCTGGTGCTACAGGCAAGTCAGCTCAAGTGCTGGGGACCCGTGGGAAGGATTCCAGGCATTCTGCCGGGGTGACATACCTGAAATAGGAGAAAAGGAACACCGATATGAAAAAAGAAAGGTATATAGGGCTCTTCAAAGAGGGGCCTTCCTTTTTGGTGTTACTGTTTTGAATTTAACATATGTATATATATATATATAGTTGTTTTCCTATACAAGCACTTCCCGGGCAAGCCGGCGGCGGAAGTTTCCGATAAGAACAATTTGACCTATAGGAGTGTCCCTTCGCACATGCCCTGCGGACTCCCTTTTGTTCCGGCCCCCAACGATGGCGTCATGCAAGCAGTTCACAACGGCGTACTCGCTCTGGAAGCCGATGCGTCACCGTCAACGACCACAGCGTGCGGTTTTGGAAACCATAATCCAGGTCCCAATGAAGTCGCAAGCCTCCTGGTTTCGCAATCGAGTGCATTGCGCTAGTTTAGCAGTCGGTGCGAGATCGTCCCTAACCAAAACACCCCAGCAACACTTGCAGTCACATTTACAGTGCGGAAACCATCCAGGAGTTGCAAAACGCAGTGGAATTCCATCAGCAGCACGTACACAAGAAACAGGTGCCACCCTTGTATTGAAAAACACAACCTTTCGTGCGTCCGCTATCTCTCAAAACCGTAGCTTGTACGAGACTTCCTTCCAAAATGCATGTTGAACACCTGCAAAGCGAAGCATTTCTGCGAGACTTCCTCCAAAAATGCAACCGGAAGACTTGATCCAACCAGGCATGAAAGTGCCATTTACATTGCGGGAACGATCCTGAAGTTGCAACACAATGAAATTCCAGCGACAACTCATCCACCAGCAACACTTGCAGTCACATTTTCAGTGCGGAAACTACCATCCAGGAGTTGCAAAACACAATGGAATTCCATCAACAGCACCTACACAAGAAACAGGTGAGTTACAATGGGACGATTCGAGCATGGTCCGAACATGATGCGAGACCGTCCGGAAAACCTCGTTCCGCAGAGCTTGGCAGCTTGACTTGCCAGGTTCGGAGCCATCCTTTGTATTGAAAAACACAACATTTTGTACTTCCGCGATCTCTCAGACTTCCTTCCAAAATGCATGTTGAACACCTGCGAAACCAGAGCTAGAGCTAACTAAAGCTAGAGCTGACTGGAACTACAGCTAATTAAAGCTAGAGCTGACTGGAGTTAATTAGAGCTAAAACTAGAGCTGACTGGAGCTAAAGAGCTAGAGAGCTGACTCAAACTATAGCTAACTAAAGTTAGAACTGATTGGAGTTAGAGCTAACTAAAGCTAGAGCTGACTGGAGCTAAGTTGGAACTAGAGAGCTGACTGAAACTAGAGCTAACTAGAGCTAGGGCTGTTGAAAGCCCGTAACACGGAAGTTTTGCGCCCCAAACTTCCTTTGATCAAGTGAGGTTATACGTGGTGTTCACTTGAGGCGCCTCTTTTCCCCATAGTGCCGAAATCCTCCAGGTTGGTCAGGTCGGGTGGAGGATTTCCACAGGATCGGCAAGGGCATCCTTGTTTGGAATTACAGTAATCTACTGTAGGTAGTCCTATAATTACGCATAATTATACATAGGAAAATGCAATAAAGCATAGGGTCCTTGAGGCAAACAATGAAATGAGAAGCTAGACCGCAACAACCCTCATCCTCGCATTGCTATGGAATGAATCCGCACCAAAACAACATACTGTAGTTTGTTGTCACACCAAGCTCATCCCATGGTCCTCAAAATTTCAGCACACTCAAAGACTGCTCGACCAGCTGAAACGTCGGCTTCAGGCGGAAATGGCAAGAGACGGATTCCGAGGACGAAACCATTGCAATTCCTTCCGGGTCGCAGCTGGGCCTTCAAATCACAGGCAGTTGGGATGCCATGGATTTTTTTGTGAATCACTTGTAGGGGATTCAAACATGGAGCCACCTCGGGTATTAGATGAAGGCCCCCATACTCCAAAGAGACAAAGCTGGAGAACCGGGTGACAAACACACTCCACACCTGTAACCACTGGTACGAGTTGTTTGCCCAAGTTTTGATTAAGGTGTAAGGGATTTTGAGGGATTCAAAACTTGAATTGGGGCAGTTTGCCAAATTGGGCGTGCTGGTTGTGTTTGGTCAATGGGGCCTGAGTGGGGTGAACGGGCATGAGCGGACCACAAAAAAATCATGTTTGCTTGTGACTTGGAGTTGCTGAAGCCCCAGGGGTCTGCCTGACCTGGCAACATGGATCTACTTGGCCGGTGGCTGGGGGCAACTTGACATCCCACGCTGTCCAAGTTGCTAGTTCCTCAGTGCAAGACTAAGTACCTACAATTGTCCGCCAACTACCACCTATAGGCTACTTTCCACCTCTTGCCCACCTCTTGCCCCAATGCCCCACAGCTAGGAGATGGAGTACAAGTGGTCAAGCGTTTGAAAGGACGGGAAAGAGAGGTAGAAATCTCCCACTGATTAGTTTTTTACATTCTGATTCGCTAGAGTGGTGTACCCAAGCTCGCCCAAAGATCAACTAGACTAACCCGACCCCACCCGAGGAAAAAGCTCCATTCTGGTCACGTCACCAAGGCATGACCGCTGGATGTCCCCATGGACTCCGAACCTTGCCACAGCCTTGGCCTTCCGCCGACAGATGCGCGACCAGCTGGGCCGCCGTGGCAAATCTGCTGCACGCTTTGACGCATCTTGGTGCGGAAAGTTCAAAAGGGCTTTGATCCAAGGTTTCTACAAGAAATATCAGGGAAAGTTTACCCTATATTAGGCTGGCGCAATGAAGATAGTCAATGATCCACGGATCTGTTCTGCGGATTCTTTCTGTTCACTTGTTTACCAGCCCCTGCTTCAGGCTGCTTCAGACAAGAATTGAGGTCTTGACTTTGCAATTTGACTTCTACAAGCCGACCTTCAATACGGTTCAGATTTCGTGAAACTCTGAGCCTTTGCTTTTAACATGTGATCATGATCTTTATGCAAGAGCAACCTCAGGACAAAAAGAACATGCAAGACCTTGCGCAGAAGGAGCCGAGAACAAACGCAGCAAATCTAGTCAGAAAAATTAAAGGACCGGATAACCCCACATATGAATCTTTGCGAATCTTAAGTTTCTAAAGCACAAAGCAGTCAGAGTCTCAATAGCTTCTACAACACGGCCTTGTCAGGAAGTGATATCAGCTTCCGACAACAGAGGGGTGGGAGAGAAGGTGTAAGAGAGTGATGTGCACGACGGATGTACGAGGTATTGTGCACACAGGTGTGCGCAGCCACAACTAGCCAACAACCCCAGCGGTGGTCGCACGTCCGCAATATGGGGCATAATGTACTGAAGTTGTACTACCAAGTCGCCAGTTCTCAGCTTCCAGCTCCCCAGCCACTCCGCGTACTACAGTTGTACTACAAAGTCGCCAGTGCTCATCTTC